TAAACCATTTGGTTGACTGATTCAATCTACAAAATCTCATTGTTATACAGGTAAAAACGATTATTAACATATTTTTTAAACCTATTATATGAAATATCCAATTGCACGAGTTCGCTATCTTTTTATATCTATGTTTATGTTTATATCGGGTTATATTACCGTCAGCAGTCTTAGGAGGTCACCTCGATGGTTAATTAGATGGTGTCTAGACTAAAATACACACAAATTGCTGATACATTTTATCGAGTCCGTGCATGGTATATTGTTAATTTTAGACTTTTCATTATTTGGATATATGTTTTAGCATGTTATAATCAAATATGAGAATTTTAATCAAATCGGTGAACATGAATTTGACAGCTAATGCCCCTTTAAAGTTACAGGTTTTTTTGTGCTCCAATTCTCTTCCTGACTGAATAAAGGAACAATCTGCATGTATAGGAAGATACCAATTAAAGAGATGAGCTTTTATCAGTTACAACAGTGCAATGTCTTCTGGTACAATATCTTCTCATCTTTAATTCATTATTTTATTATTTACCGTTATTGCTCATATGAACCACATACTATCAATAATTGTCCTTATTTTATTGTTCTTACAAGGTACACATGCAATGTATTAAGTTATAGAGGTTAAAAGTTTAACAAATAATGTCTCTGTTTATAGTAATAACTGTTTAATAATAATGTAGTGGTTATAAATGAACATCATGGAATACCACTTTAAAATTGATTGACCTCAATTTGAGGTTCAATAGATATAAGAAGATGTGGTATGAGTACCAATGAGACAACTCTCCATCCAAGTCAAAATTTATAAAAGAAAAACCATTATAGGTCAAAGTGCGGTCTTCAACACGGAGCCTTTGCTCACACCGAACAGCAAGTTATAAAGGGCCCCAAAAATTACTCGTGTAAAACCATTCAAACGGGAAAACCAACGGTCTAATCTATATAAAAAACGAGAAACGAGAAACACTTATGAACCACATCAACATACGACAACTACTGAACATCAACACCACTTTTCAGCACTACTGGCTTTTTTGTGGTAGTGTAGTTTTATTGGTGGAGAAAGTCAGAGAGAACCATGATCCTTTGGCAACCACTTTAAGTCTTACAACAAATTCTATCATTCATTGTCAAACATGACTACCATCACAATAACTATACACAAATACTCAGTATTATTTTTGTGAATACTTTATTTCATGTTTACGCCCTTAAAAAGCCGACATCTAGGTTTATTTTTCATGATCTATAACATTGGCTAAGAAAATAAGTTTTACATTTTAGCAACAATTAATATTTTTGTAATTTTTTCTACTTGTGAAATTAACGACAATAAATAGCTAAACAAATAGTTGGTTTGCAGTAATACCATCAAAGGGCATCCTTCAGAAATATAATAAGATAACTGCCTAATACTATTACAAAGAAAAAATCCGGCTATAATACCTGATTTACATTCTTGTTGACCATGATGAAGATTGTCGTGATTAAGTTTCACAGATTTCATCAACAGCAAAGATCACTTATACTTTAAATAGCAGAGGAAAATTTTCTTTGAAGTCTTATACCATAGTTGCCAGATGGTGCCATTTTGTGTTTTTGCAAAAGAGGAAAACAGGTAAAAGCCAAAATGGAAAATGAAAACCATTTAAAACTTTGTTAGAGTTTCTACTTTCAGGTTTTAAATTGCCTTCAAATTATTACCTTCACTCTTTCACTTCACAAAATATCAAAGGAAAAAAAAAATCTGGCCACCATATAAAATTAAAACCAATATTTTGTCCTTGTACCACATTTTCAATAAATTCAATAAAATATTAATTAGTTAACAAATTAAAGGAAACCTAAAGGTAGAGCGATCTGAAGCTGATAAAATATTACACTCCTCCATTCCAATATACCTCTATATTGATTTGATTTGATTTGAGGTTACACCAAACTTTATGATGTTTAGTTTGGTTACCTCAAATCAGAAATTATACCTCATTTAGATTAGTTACCTTTAACAGTGGCGGATCCAGAAATTTTCATAAGAGGGGGCCCACTGACTGCATAAGAGGGCTCCAGTCATGCTTCAGTGATTCCCTATATAATCAACCAAATTTTTCCCACAAAAGGGGGGCCCGGGCCCCCTGAAAAACCCTCTAAATCCGCCTCTGTTTAAGATATTTTAAATGATAAAATTTTATTCAAATTTAAGTAGCCTTGTTCACTGTTATGTTCAGTTATCTAAATTTAAATGATTCCACTGCCTGAGTTTACCATTAAGATGCTTAGAGCAGTCTTATATCCAATTAAATGATATTTACCATTCCTATTTGCCTTTACCGGATAAAATCATAATGAAACAAGCTTCTAGTAATAATATTAAGGAAATTATTGAACCAATGCGTGCTTCTGTACTGAACTAATTCCTCTTTGTTAATTGTTTTTACAGCTATTAGGAATCCATATCATATATTATGAAAATAATCAAAAAAATTACATAACAGACAAAAAATATTTCATTTTTTTCTTTAAATTTCACAGTTTTGAAACCCCAGGGTTCCATTCATGTGTACTGTGCATGAATAAATCACAGTAAAATAGACATGTGTTTACATAGGAAAATAAATTAGTTTTGGAAACATATGGTCTATGAAAGAGTAAATTACAAATAGATATTCTGACAGACTAATCACAATCAATTATTTGTAATTCTGCAAATCATATAAGAATTACATATAAATAAAATTAAACAAGAAAACATGCCCATTAGACACCATGCCCCGCTTGTACTATCACATGTCCATTAGACACCATGCCCCGCTTGTACTAAGTATCACATTTCTAGGACACCAAATCAAAGGAATCTTGTTTTGTTATAAATTAAGCCGTTAGTTTTCTCAATTGAACTGTTTCACATTTTTCATGTCAGAGCCCTTTATTATACTAAGCAAACTACATGCTATGGGTTTTTCTCATTGTTGAAGGGCATACTGTGGCCTATAATTGCTAACATCCACTTTATATGAACTTTGGTGGATAGTTGTCTCATTGGCAATGATACTGCATCTCCTTATTTTTATATTAGATGTAGCAAAATATTTTTTCTTAAATGTATAAATTATTATAACAAAAGTGCACACGCTGAAATGTCTCGCCTTCTTTACTAATCATTGATATTATGTTGATAGTCCTAAATATAAAGCTTTATTACAACTGTCACATAAACTTAACATTAACCAAGTAAACTAAACATTGACCAATGAACCATGAAAATGAGGTCAAGGTCAGATGAACCATGCTAGGCAGGCATGTACAGCTAACAATTCTTCCATACTACAAATTTAGCTGACCTATTGCTTATAGTTTAAGAAAAACAGACCAAAACACAAAAACTTAACACTAAGCAATGAACCTTGAAAATGAGGTCAAGGTCACATAAAACCTGCGTGACTGACATTTAGATCATAAAATATTTTCATACACCAAATATAGCTGAACTATTGCATATAGTATTAGAAAAACAGACCAAAACACAAAAACTTAACTTTGACCACTGAACCATGAAAATGAGGTCAAGGTCAGATGACACCTGCCAGCTAGACATGTACACCTTACAATCATTCCATACACCAAATATAGTAGACCTATTGCATACAATACAGGAAAAACAGACCAAAACACAACAAGAGTGCACACACTGAAATGTCTCGCCTTCTTTACTTATCATTGATATTATGTTGATAGTCCTAAATATAAAGCTTTATTACAACTGTCACATAAACTTATTATTAACCAAGTTAACTAAACATTGACCAATGAACCATGAAAATGAGGTCAAGGTCAGATGAACCATGCTAGGCAGGCATGTACAGCTAACAATTCTTCCATACAACAAATATAGTTGATCTATTGCTTTTAGTTTAAGAAAAACAGACCAAAACACAAAAACTTAACACTGAGCAATGAACCTAGAAAATGAGGTCAAGGTAAAAAAAAAACTGTGTGACTGACAAATAGATCATAAAATATTTCCATACACCAAATATAGTTGAACTTTTGCATATAGTATTAGAAAAAAAGACCAAAACTCAAAAAATTAACTTTGACCACTGAACCATGAAAATGAGGTCAAGGTCAGATGACACCTGCCCGCTAGACATGTACACCTTACAATCATTCCATACACCAACTATAGTAGGCCTATTGCATACAGTATAAGAAAAACAGACCAAAACACAAAAACTTAACTATAACCACTGAACCATGAAAATGAGGTCAAGGTCAGATGACACCTGCCAGTTGGACATGTACACCTTACAGTCCTTCCATACACCGAATATACTAGACCTATTGCTTATAGTATCTGAGATATGGACTTGACCACCAAAACTTAACCTTGTTCACTGATCCATGAAATGAGGTTGAGGTCAAGTGAAAACTGTCTGACGGGCATGAGGACCTTGCAAGGTACGCACATACCAAATATAGTTGAACTATTGCATATAGTATTAGAAAAAAAGACCAAAACTCAAAAACTTAACTTTGACCACTGAACCATGAAAATGAGGTCAAGGTTAGATGACACCTGCCCGCTAGACATGTACACCTTACAATCATTCCATACACCAAATATAGTAGACCTATGGCATACAGTATAGGAAAAACAGACCAAAACACAAAAACTTAACTATAACCACTGAACCATGAAAATGAGGTCAAGGTCAGATGACACCTGCCAGTTGGACATGTACACCTTACAGTCCTTCCATACACCGAATATACTAGACCTATTGCTTATAGTATCTGAGATATGGACTTGACCACCAAAACTTAACCTTGTTCACTGATCCATGAAATGAGGTTGAGGTCAAGTGAAAACTGTCTGACGGGCATGAGGACCTTGCAAGGTACGCACATACCAAATATAGTTGAACTATTGCATATAGTATTAGAAAAAAAGACCAAAACTCAAAAAATTAACTTTGACCACTGAACCATGAAAATGAGGTCAAGGTTAGATGACACCTGCCCGCTAGACATGTACACCTTACAATCATTCCATACACCAAATATAGTAGACCTATGGCATACAGTATAAGAAAAACAGACCAAAACACAAAAACTTAACTATAACCACTGAACCATGAAAATGAGGTCAAGGTCAGATGACACCTGCCAGTTGAACATGTACACCTTACAGTCCTTCCATACACCGAATATACTAGACCTATTGCTTATAGTATCTGAGATATGGACTTGACCACCAAAACTTAACCTTGTTCACTGATCCATGAAATGAGGTAGAGGTCAAGTGAAAACTGTCTGACGGGCATGAGGACCTTGCAAGGTACGCACATACCAAATAGAGTTATCCTATTACTTATAATAAGAGAGAATCTAACATTACAAAAAATCTGAACTTTTTTTTCAAGTAGTCACTGAACCATGAAAATGAGGTCAAGGACATTGGACATGTGACTGACAGAAACTTCGTAACATGAGGCATCCATATACAAAGTATGAAGCATCCAGACCTTCCACCTTCTAAAATATAAAGCTTTTAAGAAGTTAGCTAACGCCGCCGTTGCGTAGCCGCCGCAGCCGCCGCCGGATCACTATCCCTATGTCGAGCTTTCTGCGACAAAAGTCGCAGGCTCGACAAAAACTTAACTATAACCACTGAACCATGAAAATGAGGTCAAGGTCAGATGACAACTGCCAGCTAGACATGTACACCTTACAATCATTCCATACATCAAATATAGTAGACCTATTGCATACAGTATAAGAAAAACAGACCAAAACACAAAAACTTAACTATAACCACTGAACCATGAAAATGAGGTCAAGGTCAGATGACACCTGCCAGTTGGACATGTACACCTTACAGTCCTTCCATACACCGAATATACGAGACCTATTGCTTATAGTATATGAGATATGGACTTGACCACGAAAACTTAACCTTGTTCACTGATCCATGAAATGAGGTCGAGGTCAAATGAAAACTGTATGGCGGTCATCAGGACCTTGTTAGGTACGCACATACCAAATATAGTTATCCTATTACTTATAATAAGAGAGAATTTAACATTACAAAAAATCTTAACTTTTTTTTCAAGTAGTCACTGAACCATGAAAATGAGGTCAAGGACATTGGACATGTGACTGACTGAAACTTCGTAACATGAGGCATCCATATACAAAGTATGAAGCATCCAGCTCTTCCACCTTCTAAAATATAAAGCTTTTAAGAAGTTAGCTAACGCCGCCGCCACTGCCGCCGCCGTAGCTGCAGCCGCCACCGGATCACTATCCCTATGTCGAGCTTTCTGCGACAAAAGTCGCAGGCTCAACAAAAACTAGACATGGACGATGTCCCCCTTTGCTCTGCCATGTGCATGAGTATATATAGTTCCACATACTTTAGATTTGGCAAACAGTGATGTTGAAGTACAACTTGAAATTGTTGCGCTGTCTGTAAGACACAAATGATGCCCCGGCTGACATAAGAAATTATAAATCTAAAAATATGTATGATGGTTTATCTTTTATTTTCATTCTGAGTACAAAAAAAAAATAACTAAGTCCAAATATCTGGCATTTTGAGAATATTTGAAAAAAATCAAAATCCTGTGGGCATGCACACCTCTATTACATGTAGATACATCCTACAAAATATTAATGCTGTATCTCAAAAACTGTAGGAAGAGATAGCTGGACATATCATGTATCTGGACAGACAAACAGACAAATGGACAGGGGTAAATCAATATGCTCCTCAACATTTAGTCGGGCGGGGAGGGGGGGGGGGGGGGCATAAATATAATATGACACATGCTTGCCCCTGATTTTAGTAAACAAATAATGAGAAGTAAACATCAGTATGTTGATGGTATAGTGTAACCTAAGTAGAAGGCTATTTTTAAGCTCAAAAAACTCGAAACGTTGCATGCTGCTGTTGAAACATAGTATCTGCCTTAAACATTACATGTTGCATATAAAAAGATATCATCTGCTTTAAAACATTACATGTTGCATATAAAAAGATATCATCTGCTTTAAAACATTACATGTTGCATATAAAAAGATATCATCTGCTTTAAAACATTACATGTTGCATATAAAAAGATATCATCTGCTTTAAAACATTGCATGTTGCATATAAAAAGATATCATCTGCTTTAAAACATTACATGTTGCATAGAAAAAGATATCATCTGCTTTAAAACATTGCATGTTGCATATAAAAAGATATCATCTGCTATAAAACATTGCATGTTGCATATAAAAAGATATCATCTGCTTTAAAACATTGCATGTTGCAAATGAAAAGATATCATCTGCTTTAAAACATTACATGTTGCATATAAAAAGATATCATCTGCTTTAAAACATTGCATGTTGCATATAAAAAGATATCATCTGCTTTAAAACATTACATGTTGCATATAAAAAGATATCATCTGCTTTAAAACATTACATGTTGCATATAAAAAGATATCATCTGCTTTAAAACATTGCATGTTGCATATAAAAAGATATCATCTGCTTTAAAACATTGCATGTTGCTATTAGAAGAACTATATCATCTGGACGTCATGTCTGTCAGTTGAGAACTACCTAAATAAATCATGACATGTATGGACGTCACCACTGTCAGTTGAGAACTATTTATATAAATCATGACATGTATGGACGTCACCACTGTCAGTTGAGAACTACTTATATAAATCATGACATGTATGGACATCACCACTGTCAGTTGAGAACTACTTATATAAATCATGACATGTATGGACATCACCACTGTCAGTTGAGAACTACTTATATAAATCATGACATGTATGGACGTCACCACTGTCAGTTGAGAACTACTTATATAAATCATGACATGTGTGGACATCACCACTGTCAGTTGAGAACTACTTATATAAATCATGACATGTGTGGACATCACCACTGTCAGTTGAGAACTACTTATATAAATCATGACATGTATGGACGTCACCACTGTCAGTTTAGAACTACTTATATAAATCATGACATGTATGGACGTCACCACTGTCAGTTGAGAACTACTTATATAAATCATGACATGTAATCAACTTTATAGCAAGCTGCCTGCATGATGTTGTTGATTATAATGTGTCTAATATCCTTATTTCATTACTATTACCTGTAATTAAACGTAAGTTAATCAATTCTTTTTTATCCTTTTAGTTAATTAAAAAATCAATCCTCATCATTGAAAAATGGTCTGTTATGATTTACCGTGGGAAACGTTATAATAATGATATACTCATTTAGCCCTTTGATATTTTCTTTAAATTTTTTAATTTTACTTGCAACATCTCTTAGATTTAAACTATGAAAATTTAAAGATTTTGAAAAGGAATCAAAGAAAAAATCAGAGTGAATTTAAGAGAAATAAATGCAACTGAAACAACAGTGTTCCAAAGAAAGTCTGAGAGATTCTTAAGATTCTTAAGACTGAATATCAACTGAAACAAGAATATTCCAAGCTAAAATTTAAAATGAAATCTAAAATATGGAAGAGTAACTGAAGCACAATAATGTGTTCCAAGTAAATCTGTACAAGTTAATTCATTTTTTGGGTATGTTTTTTCTTCTTTGTAACACATGTGTTAGACTCAGAACATGACAGAATAAACAAATGCACACAATTAACCATAACCTTGGCAGACCTCCAAATAACCAATCAACCATAACCTCTAAATAACCAATCAACCATATCCTCTAACAACCAAACAACTCTATAACCTTTACAGACCATCAAATCAGCCATAACCTCTAAATAACCAATCAACTATAACCTCTAAATAACCAATCAACCATAAACTCTTCAGACCAATCAACCATAACCTCTAACAACCAAACAACTCTAACCTCTACAGACCGTCAAATCAGTCATAATCTCTAAATAACCAATCAACCATAACCTTTAAATAACCAATCAACCATAACCTCTAAATAACCAATCAGCCATAACCTCTAAATAACCAATCAACCATAAACTCTTCAGACCAATCAACCATAACCTCTATTAACCAAACAACTCTAACCTCTACAGACCATCAAATCAGCCATAACCTCTAAATAACCAATAAATCATAACCTCTAAATAACCAATCAGCCATAACCTCTAAATAACCAATCAACCATAACCTCTAAATAACCAATCAGCCATAACCTCTAAATAACCAATCAGCCATAACCTCTAAATAACCAATCAGCCATTTATCAATTTGTTTTTAACTTATGAGTTTGAATATCCCTTTGGTATCTTTCGCCTCTCTTAAAGGTCGTACACTACAGTGACATGTACTTGTTCACATCCTTGACATTTTCCAATCATACAATATATGTGGCTGTATTAGCTCATGATGTTCTTGGATATAAAAATTTCAAAGGCAATGGACCATGACTGAGAGGACAGGGCTAAATAATCTGCATAAAATTAAGATGTGCCAATACAAATATCAATAAAACTGCATACTTAATATCATGGACTTACCATAAGTGGACCCCTTAATCTGACCTAATCACAAATTCAACTGTTGTTGAAACTGATGAAACTGGATTGATTGATTGATTGATTTTTGGTGTTTAATGTCATTTTTAGGACTATTGGCTTTTCTTACTAGCCAGTCTTTATTGGTGGAGGAAGAGGGAGTGTGCAGACAGTACCACCAACCTTCAGCAGACAAGTGTGCACACACTGAAATGTCTCGCCTTCTTTACTAATCATTGATATTATGTTGATAGTCCTAAATATAAAGCTTTATTACAACTGTCACATAAACTTAACATTAACCAAGTAAACTAAACATTGACCAATGAACCATGAAAATGAGGTCAAGGTCAGATGAACCATGCTAGGCAGGCATGTACAGCTAACAATTCTTCCATACAACAAATATAGTTGACCTAGTGCATATAGTATTAGAAAAAAAGACCAAAACTCAAACACTTAACTTTGACCACTGAACCATGAAAATGAGGTCACGGTCAGATGACACCTGCCAGCTAGACATGTACACCTTACAATCATTCCATACACCAAATATAGTAGACCTATTGCATACAGTATTAGAAAAAAAGACCAAAACTCAAAAACTTAACTTTGACCACTGAACCATGAAAATGAGGTCAAGGTCAGATGACACCTGCCAGCTAGACATGTACACCTTACAATCATTCCATACACCAAATATAGTATACCTATTGCATACAGTATAAGAAAAACAGACCAAAACACAAAAACTTAACTATAACCACTGAACCATGAAAATGAGGTCAAGGTCAGATGACACCTGCCAGTTGAACATGTACACCTTACAGTCCTTCCATACACCGAATATACGAGACCTATTGCTTATAGTATCTGAGATATGGACTTGACCACCAAAACTTAACCTTGTTCACTGATCCATGAAATGAGGTCGAGGTCAAGTGAAAACTGTCTGACGGGCATGAGGACCTTGCAAGGTACGCACATACCAAATATAGTTATCCTATTACTTATAATAAGAGAGAATTTAACATTACAAAAAAATCTTAACTTTTTTTTCAAGTAGTCACTGAACCATGAAAATGAGGTCAAGGACATTGGACATGTGACTGATGGAAACTTTGTAACATGAGGCATCCATGTACAAAGTATGAAGCATCCAGGTCTTCCACCTTCTAAAATATAAAGCTTTTAAGAAGTTAGCTAACGCCGCCGCCGCCGCCGGATCACTATCCCTATGTCGAGCTTTCTGCGACAAAAGTCGCAGGCTCGACAAAAAACTGAGTATCCTAGTCAATTATGATTGGAGTTAAGCGCACCTGCGACGTGCAGAATTCAAACACACAACCTCATGTGTTGCTTTGCTGGTGTCACAGTAATTGAACTACTTAGACCACTTGGCCACCAAGGCCCTGCTGAAACTGGAAACAGCATGCCTAAGTAAGGATTTATATAGTCAGTCAATACGGAAAGAAAAGTTAATTATCAAAAATACCGAACTCCAAGGAAAATTCAAATCGGAAAGTTCCTTATCAAATGGCAAAATCAAAAACTCAAACACATCAAACGAATGGAAAATAACTGTCATATTCCTGACTTGGTTCAGACATTTCCTTATGTAGAAAATGGTGGAATAAACCTGGTTTTATAGCTAGCTAAACCTCTTACTTGCATGACAGTCGCATAAAATTTATTATATTGACAATTGCAACAAAGTGTAAACAAAACAAACAGACATAATATATAAAAATGTCAAAAATAGGGGTACAGCAGTCAACATTGTGTTATGATCTTAATCACTATAAAAACAAGCAAATATGTCGACAATAAAAAAAACAAAATGGCATATAGACAAAGAAAATACGCAAAAATGAAAGACAAGAATACAAAAAATGACCACAGCACAACAAAACAATGGTGAGATCCATAAGTACCGAGCCATGCAAAAAGGATATTACCAAAAATGGACTAAACAGTAAAGGTTAATAATTTACAAAGACAAATAAAAGAACACTATAACATGTAATTAAGATAATAAACAACTCAGTACCTAGAATCTATACTTCAAGACCATAGATGTACTTTTGTTATTTGTAAAAGCTTTTAGTGTTATTTAGTTAAACTTTGTGTTCACCACATCAAATATTTCTAAGAAATTTTTAGTCTTTTAGCATCATACCCAATTAAATTGATTTAATAGAAAGAAATTTATTCACTTCATTTGAAAAAATATACAAAATCAATCTACCATTAAATCCGTTATTTATTTGAGAAAACTTCTACGAATTCAAATTAACTTTTTAATTATACACATCAAAAACCTTTTTTACTTTTTCCACGTATAAATTTTCTGTGACATTTTAAATCTTAGTAAATTATTCAGATGCTATCCTTACATAAGCTGTATCAACTTTGGTATTTACATTTACAAGCATGATTACCATCAGCAGGGAAGGACAATTATTTTTACTTTTCTTGGTTTACTCATCATTGGCAATATTCCTTTTAAGGATAACTGTTGGTTTTCTTAGTTTCATGGAAGATTTTATAGACAGGACAATAATTGGTTTTTTTACCGACTTTCCTTCTCATTTAAAACATTGCATGTGAAGTCAACTGTTCTGTTTACCTTTCTAATTTCCTGAGCAATTGGAACAGTTTTATTATATAGAAGCCATTGTATGTTGGATTTTTTTCTTAGCTTTCTCATTATATTGAAAATAACTTATTATTAAAGGTCAATAATGGCATATTCATCTTTGCTTAGAATCCTAAATATTGAAGACTTTACTTCTAAGGCCATCTGTAATGTTTTCTTTGTTTCCTGCCTATTCAAAGAATATTACTTATAAGTTTTTATATATTCACGACAACCAAAACAGTTTACTTATAAATTTTAATTCTCTTTCTTTGTTTTCAAACTAAAAAGTTCATTACATTATACAGAGGGTTTTTTATGAACTATATGGATCTGCAATAGAATTGACATTAAAGGAATGCAAAAATACCAAATCAATTTTTTTTTTTATATCTCAAGTTTGCCAAGGAAACATTTATTACAATTAGGTGCTTATTTACCAAAAATACATAAAATCTTTAAGATAGACACTCAAAATCAGGAATAGGTAAATATATATTTAACCTATAATCGTAAATTATTGACAATTTACAGAATAATTATTTCTTCATTTCATCATTTAATTTTCAAAATTAAATTAAAAATGAAAAATTTGCATTCTATGCAAAACATACAATATAATCATTATAAGTATGTCTCCACAGAATCTATAATAAAATATAACATTAACAATTAGTATGAATCAATATCCTGATAAAAAGGCCAGGTTTTAAAGAAAACTTAACTGTCGATTCATTAAAGGACAGCTGTTGATAAAACAAATATAAATATACAGACTTACCTAAAAGTGACAATTTAAGAGTTGAAATGTTGTTTTGGTTGATAGCATCTTTAAGTGAAGGGTGGGTAAACTCTGCGTAACATCCCTGTCGGTGCACAGACATTATTGCGTTACATCTACTGTCGGTGTACAGACATTATTGCGTTATATCTATGTTTAATCAAACTCACACAATGATAACATAGATTTGCTCATCAAATTCTCATTTGCAGTTTTCCGTCAAATTGCCCATCTAAAATAAAAAAAAGAAAGCGTCGCTATATTGATTTGACGTTCAATGGTGATAGGTCTACAAATGAGACAATGTATCTACCTCTTTGTCATTAAAAATCAACATTTGACAGAGAAGTCTGAAGGTATATTTTAAGTTGAAAAAGAAGATACAGGTAAATAACAGCAAATCAAAATTAAAATCTGGTTTTGACCATTTATAAACTACTTTACTGTTATTCTAACAATAAAATGTCAGTGAATACTATAAGAGAGTGCACAGTAAGGAATAATAATAAAATTTCTGGAATTTCTGACAAATATCCACTTACATGGTTTTGTTATACTTTTTTCAAGTTATCATCATTTAAAAGATCACTTCAAATACTCATATATACATATATGTTCTTGGATGACATTCTTATAAGAATGCATGCAATAATTGACACATATCTCCTTATTTTTATATAGATATAAGAAGATGTGGTATGAGTGCCAATGAGACAAATCTCCATCCAAGTCAAAAAATAACAAAAATATCGAACTCCAAGGAAAATTCAAAACAGAATGTCCCTCATCAAATGGCAAAATCAAAAGCTCAAACACATCAAACGAATGGAAAACAACTGTCATATTCTTGAGATCGAACACTTCAAAAATATATGTATATTCATGATTTAAATCATCTGCACAAAATCCCCAGGATTTTTATACACTGTGGTAAGCACAGGATATCAGACTGAATTGTCTTTTGCATTGGACAATGGAACATTTGTGCTGCACTGATTTATGTATTTAAATAAATCAAATTTGAAAAAGAAGTGTATTTTTATACATATATGCATTAACAGATGTGTAAATAAATGCTATAAACATATTCCTATTTGTCCTTGTGTATTACAAACAATAAAAAAAATATGTAACTGCTACAGCTAATAGATGGGTAAACAAATATATTTTGGATCAACTTAAATTAATAATTGCAGCAGCCAGTACTGTAAACTACCATATAGACTTGAAGTTCTTACCATAATTCAACAACCTGAGTTTTACCAGATACAATTGGTGGCAAAATGAAAGAAGATCTTAATGATAACACTATGTTGAGGAAGGTTTTACATGTAGAACAATTTTAACTGCATTGTTTAAAAACTGTTTTCAAAGAAGATTCTTTTAAAGGATCAATTCCCTTTGGACAATTACATTGTTCTTGTTTTTTGTATAATGGGTTTTTTCTCACTTTTGTATAATTTTCTCTTTTGCAAATTACAGTATATGATCATGATGATATAAAACAGCCAAGGACAGGAGTAAACACTGATAGAATGATCAATGTACAACTAAACTGGTCCCCAGACAATTCATTGGTTAACATCTACTCATCATTATGGTAATCAATCTGTCAGGAACCAGGTCAGACTTCCATCTAAAAAACTATGATGCTAATATTCTTTAGCCATCATTGACACATTTTGATATTTAAGGTCTTGATTAAATACAGAAATGAAAAGTGACTTGTCTACCATGTAGGTTAATTAAGAAGGATAATAGAGATACTGATGAAGACCAGTACTGGACGAACTAAAAAATAGTTTAGTTATTACAATAATGCAAAAGATGTTCCCTATTTGAATTTCTATTCAAGATAATAAAAAATATTCTGGAATAAATACGCAAATATTGATAAATCTGACATCAATAAAAGTAGGTGCTTGATGATATGTTGAACCTTAAGCTTAAAGTTAGACTAAGAGGGCTGTCTCACAGGCTTAGGGAGCCTGCATCTGATATGCAGGTTTGGTTTTACATTTGTTTCTTAAAAACTGTGGGAACCATAAGTTTATTATCAAACCTCCTTGTATGGTTTGAACCGAGTTTAGGGAACCATAAGTTTTACCAAACCATTATCCAGAACATTCGATTTGAAAACTCAATAAATAATAATTACCACTCAAAAACCTAAATCCTAAACTAAAATTGTTGTTTTTTTAATAACAACTGTCACAAAGTCATGTAGTAATTGGCTTCATAAAATATTTTATAACTGAAGGGGTACCAACATAGATTTCACTTGTTTTATTTTCATAAAATTTTGACAAAAAATTTACTTCGACTAGTTGATATATATAAAAATTTTAAGAAATTTGAACAACAGTTTGACAAACACCAATTTTGATCATTCAGAAGGCTAATAGTATATAATTTAAATGTTCAGCTGATTTTTAATGAGTTATCTCCCTTAGGTGTTCTGTTACCACTTAAAGCAAAGCTGAATATTGTTTAGTAAACAAATAAAGAGACTCAAATAACAAACAGGAAATCAAAAAACAAACTTTAAAGACTAACGTAAGGTTGTAAAGTTGGTTCTTGTGAAATCAATGTAAATAGTCAAAAAAATTAAATACTGCACATGGAATATAAATCATGCAGCTCTGCAATCAATCTCACAAAAAATCTTACAAGAAAAAATACTCATGAACATTTCAGTCATAATAACTTACAATCAATTTTTGTCGTAACATTTTTTGTGAAATGAGCCCCAGTATTTGTGTTCTTCATCTTCAAAAGATTTTTGCTGATATTATTAATCAAATTTTCTATTAAAGCAGTTGTTAAGTAAGCAAAAAGTTTTTAAGTTCCCCCGTTTTAAAGTACAAATTAAGTCTATATCAGACCTCTATACTGAGTGTTCATTGATATGATTCAGGCTCCAATATCGTGGTAGCCATTAATCAATATATATAAAAAAACAAAACAACACTATTGCATGTACAGGACATATAGACATATCATAAATGTTTTGTTCTATAAATAATGAGAAATGTTTAGTTTAATTATGACTTATAAATCAATCCATATAATTTTATGTCTGCATGTTTGTCAATTTTGCTTAGCCTTCAAATATTTGCTTATAAAATTACCAATTAATTCACTAAGAAACTCTCAGATGGGATGTTTATTAAATATGAATGTTTTATGAAAAATTTATGTGAAATAAAACATCAAATAAATGGAAATGTAATAGTTCTGCATTATGGAGAAATGACTGTTTTTTGGATTTTGATTTTAGTAAACAGAAAGAGATCTTGGCACGACGGTTTTTCATGGTTTGATTCCACAATTCACAACCATGGTCGAGTAAACATAGTGATGATCTCATGCTTGGGTCCCAAAGGTTATTACCAGGGCTAAGTAAATGCAGCACTTAGTCTAATGTGATTCCAACGTTTAGAACCCTGTTTAAGAAAAAAGTGCCATGATCTTGTGGGATCAAAAAGTTTTGAACCAGGGCTAGGGCCATGGAAAAATAGCACTGATATGGTGGGCTCACAAAGGTTTGAACCTGGTCTAAGGAAACACAACACTGACCTAATAGGATTCCAAGGTTTAGAACCAAGTTAAGAAAAACAGAGCCCTGATCTAGTGGGATCTCAAAGGTCTGAATCTGGACCAAGGAAACACAGCACTGGTCTGATAAGATTCCAATTTTTAGAACCAGGTTTAAGAAAATAGAGCTCTGATCTGCTGAGATTCCAAAGTTTAGAACCAAATTTAAGAAAACAGAGCCCTGATCTGGTGGAATCCCATAGTTTGAACCTGGACCAAGGAAACACAGCACTGGTCTGATTGAATTTCATGGTTTAGAACCAGGTTTAGGAAAACAAAAGCCCTTATCTGGTGGAATCCCAAAGGTTTAAACCAAGGTCAAGGAAACACAGCACTTCTTTGGTGGGAGAGCCGGATCTGACGGACTTTAAAAGTTTAAAACAAGGTCAAAGGAAACATAGAGCACTGAATCTGTGGGATTGCAAAGTTTAGAACAAGGTCAAAGAAAACATAGAGCCCTGATCTGGAGTGATTGCAAAGTTTAAAACAAGGTCCAAGGAAACATAGAACACTGATAATGTGGGATTGTAAAGTTTAGAAAAAGGTCAAAGGAAACACAGAGCACTGATCTGGTGGGATTGCAAAGTTGGGAACCAGGTTTAGGAAAACAGAGCCCTTAAAACTTCAGATTATATCCCATGCCTTGAAACATAAAACTGGTCTGTTAGATTGAGAAATTCATTCATGACCCCTGGCTTTTAAATTGATCCTGTTGAGATTAATCTTTTAACTTTATGCTTCCGTGTGCATATCTAAAAGTAGTTATAGGAGTAAATGTCATAATCTTTCATGCTTCTGCTTTGGGACAATCCTGTCAACCGACGAGAAACTAAGCAAAGACCAGCTTTGTTTGTTATCTAAAAGATGCAGTCAATATAACTTAACACATGGTGTCATGGATCTAATGTATAACAGATTTACAAAACTATACATGAATTAGATTTAGAATGAAAATTCTATTAAAGTTTCTCACAGTTAAATGGAATCTGAGAATTAAGATTGATTTAGTAAGTTTAAATCTTTAAAGTTTGTTTTGTTAATTTTTCCTATCTGATTTAACCAGGAAGTTTAATCTCAAGAGAGCCATTCTTCATTTTAAATAATTACTTTATTTTGTGTTACTAAGGAAATACAATTAAGGTGAGATATGGATTTTATTTTGGTTAATATTCTGTTAAAAATAAACCAGAATTAATATCATTAAAATAATACTTGCTACTTCCTTCTAAATTATAATGCATGGTTAACCAAAGAATGAATTCGCAGGAATTTATTATTATATTTAAATAATAAAAATAATTTCAACATAGTTTTGTCAACTGAAAAAACAAACTTAATGGACCTGAATATGTGATTCTTCTGTGTAAAAAAAAGAATCCATCATGTTTGAAATTGATTTGCATGACAAAGACAAAACAAAATCCCTGAAATGGCTAGAATATATCAAAATTGTTGTTGTTCACTTTGTGGATTCTAATGTGCCCAGTGAAATCAGAATTTGGTAGAAATGTAATTCATAAAATTGGATATATAATGAGACAGCAACCTTACAAAATGAAACAATTAAAATTATTTTAGCTTTTTATTTTAGGAAATCATTTTACATAAAATGTTACCAGAAACTTTAATAGTCTA